AAGTTAATGCGAGAGTAAGTAGAGTTAAGTAACCACAGCTAAAAGCTAATTGAATTCGACTGCTGTTCACGCAGTGATTATTTTGTCCCAGACATCGTTCTATTCTTGACTCTATGAGACTGTCAAACTCTATTAAAGCAAAATGTTTAATAATATATTATCATTCGTCGAGAGTGCCAAAGTAATATGTATGTCTACTCTCGTTAATCGATGACAGTTAATGACCCCTTTCTTGCTAGATACTATACAAGGTATTCCTCGTTGGTTTGATAACTTTCAACTTCGCGTACGATTAACTGTAGTATTCGTGACGGCTTCCTGTTCATACGGTTTAATTCGAATAACCTTAGCTTTGATCTACAGAAATTTAAACCTATTTTACATGTAAACGTAGTTAGATAAGAATGTACGTAATCATTTGCAGTGTAATTTAGAAAATTCCGCTAATACATTAGACACATATGTACACTAATTCACGGAAGTATTTGGACGTTTACCATGTATACAAATACTTTATACAAAACACTTTGAAATTTTGAATGGCTCCCATTAAGGCTGTAACGAGACACGATTGTCATGATTGTACTAGTATTTGAAACCAATCGGAAAATGTATATAGAAGTAGATATTTACTGCGAACATACATTTAGTGTTAGACAAAAATTAATTGCGCGTAGGTGAAGTTTAGATTTGTCTATACATAAAGTACTTGATAGAAATTTAGATTATTATTAGTAGCAAGTGTGAATCAATTAGTACTAGTTGAGAACCAATGGTATAAAGCCTTTTGTGCAATGAAATCGTGATATCAAAGCTCTTAGATTCTACAATATGAATTACGATACAGGTAGTAAACACTTTCTTATCATGTATTAAACTGACGATTGAATTACTGGTATCATGCCATGAAGATATCTACTCCTCTTGTTGAACTGAAACACTATTCCCTCCTATCGGTCACACAGTTTATTGTTTTCTCTATGTAACACTATCGACGTTAGGTAATAATATTACGTAGAATTTTAACTGCTAAGCGTTCTTCAGCCGAAAATACCGAATATTAAATTTTTCGAAATATAAGCACGATATAATTTATATTCAGCAAAAGTCAACGCATAATAAATAGAAGATTTCTAAATAAAGATATTATTTCCAAGAGATTAGCAATTCGAGTGACGGGTTAACTCGCCTCCCTTGGTAACCGCAGGTATACAGGTTAAGCGATAGTTTCCTTATGATAATTGAGAATACTTTTATACCGTAACTCTTATTCGTTCGAGAGGACCATTGTTTCATAGATTTGTTTATTGTATAATAGTGTTGTTGAGCTGATTGGTAATTTATGTATTAAAACATTTATTCCAGCTAGCAGAAACATAAATTTCATTTATTTAGTGCACACAACTTTTTGCATGATGAATAATAGACTAGAAGTAATGATGAAATTGGTAATTATAGATATCTCAGTCGTGTCATCGACCTCGATCATGTTTTGGATATGTCGTAGTAATCAATATTTTGAATAACTTTTTCCTTGACTTTGAATTATTCGCAAAAAACTGCCAGTATTCCCACAGTGAATTCTGTCTATAGTTATGTGTCACTATTGTTTATCGGACGCCATGCTGTGGAGCGGCCGTATAATATAGCCGCCTAACCTAAACTTAATTCTCGTTTTCTGTGTACAGTTCATATAGGCTTGGGTTTAAGTGTCATTTTATGTGGTCGTGCCTGACGGTGCGTCGACCAGCAATACTGACGTATACGCTATCACAGACGTATAGTTATGGGTAGAATTCACTGCCGTGGCACTGACAGTTTTTTGCCAATATATAGGAAACCAAATCGAGCGGTCGTTACACGTAGAAAGAAAAAGTTGTCGGGAATCATAACCTCGACAACGTATTAAAAAATCATCGAAAGAGGCGAGATGGAAGAGATATCGATAATTATGACGAAATTTAATATCGCATAAATATTGGTGTTTAGAAATAATAGGAAATAATTATGTTTGATAATTGTCATGAAAAATGTGAACTTTAAAACGAGAGAATCGAAAACTTGGCAAAGAGATATTATACGTTTCAAAGAGATATTATACGTATATTGGATGATTGAAACTTAAAGAACATCAGCAATTTAGACTTTCAAGTGCCACGGTAATTGTGGAAACTTATTGAGCATGATGAAGGACTGTTTGATGCTGGACAATGAGAGATTCTCTTTTCAAGCTGACCAACGAATCATTCGGTAATACAACTCAATGACATTTAAACAGGAAATGGTAAATTTTATTGCCGAGGTCAATACTAATGCATATACTCCACTGATGTATGATAATACTCTTATTGTTCCTGAAAACGAACAATTCTCGTTTTTCTTGTAATTATTATCGCATATATTTTTCTGGGCCCCTCGACAGCGATAATATTTCGCTCAATGACCTGCGCATACTTTCTGCGCAAATCTTATCATTGAAATATTTTTCAACAACCCTTACACTTTCCGTGTTTACTTCTTCTGGAATTTATCTTAATTGCTCGTAAGCTATATCGTTCATCGTGATTGTTTAAGATCTTGCCCTTGCTGCTTTTTATCTTATTTGTTACTTTTATCTTATTTCTCATTTATCGTATCTTCTAAAGAGATGATATTGTAGAACTCTTCGATTTCGATAATATTTGTTGAATATGTCGTAAAGTTCGACAACTTTGAACAACTTTCTCCTCTGCATATAACCTTGGTCGGCCTTAATTTCCAAGATATTCGTAAAAAAAATACTGCTATATCTACGATGAATTTTGGCTATAGCTATGCGTCTGCACACGCTGCCACCGAAGCACAACTATAAGCAGAAATAGTCTGTAATATCCTATTTACAATTTATATAATTTCACATCGTGATTTGCTCCGATGGTAACGAGAAACTACATTTTTTCAATTATATGCATAAATATCTTAGCTATAATCGTTACGATTCGTTGCATAGAATTTTCGAAGCTCGACTCGTTTGCTTCAGCCTAAAATTGGTTCTCGCGGTGAAACACTAGTCACGTTGCTGGGGAGTGGGAAGCGAGCGCGGAAGCTGAGAGTCTGAAAGATCGCTCTGCGACGATTTCGTTTTGAATGAGTGAAATACGGAGCATAGCCGAAGTGTGGCTTGTTTCAGCAAGCAAGGTCCCTTGGTGGGTCGAATAACGGTTAACCGCTTATTCCACTTGGCTGTTTTACTCGTTCTCTCGCCGTTTGATTCATCAGCCGAACCTTCGGAATTCCTCCGTGCTAAGAAATTCGAAGTAGTTTCGGTGCACCGTTATTTTTATTGGCGGGACGCGTTCGAATAGCGCTCGTTTCTCAGACAAATAAATGGAACATAAAATTATCGATCAACTGCGCGGCGAATGGGTAGGTTCGCTTGAAAATCGAATGGAATGCGTTTATTCCTTTTTTCTTTTGTGTTTGAGTTCGCTTAACCTCCTTCCGCTCATTGTTATCGAAAGTGCAAGAGTTTCACAACAGAGTAGGTTTATTTTATGTTGTGTATATACCGGAGCTCTGTCTCACGGTAATTTGCTAATAATAAACACACAACGAGACGCACAGTAATTTTCTAGAAAACTAATCAATGATATCGATAAATCGACGAGTTACAAATTGCGAGTTGCACGGATTATTTTTTTACAATTTTACAATTTTATGCGAGAACGCGTAATAATGGAGTGACCGACGATTTCTAAAGTTCATTTGTAAAACTTCATTTTTATTCTGGCAAGAAAGAATGTATTAACTCTGGTAAGTTGTAACGTGCCAATTGCAAACTTTCACTAATAATATTAGTCTAATTACGCAAGAGAGAGTCCGGCTTTTCAGCACACGCGTCAATAAAATATTCGAAAAACGATTATTAAATTGAGCAATCAGCTTTTCGAATAATTTGCCTGCGAATAATATGGAAGCCTGATTCCACGTTATCGGTGCAGGTAGGATATAGTATTAATCGCAGAAATCACAAGTAGAGTATTCATGCCACTCTCTCCTCTTTTCTCTTCTTCTCCACGTTAAACAAATTCAACGAAGAAGTTGTTAATTTAAGAACAGTACGAGTCATTGATATTGCTTGAGATAATCGTGAATAGCGATCAATCAGCGAGCTTTCCATACCGATTTGTGGCGATCGTGTGTATCGGAGGTTTCGATCGGTCATAGTTTGCTGCGACTAATTGTAAACGTTGTGAGAATCTCGTGAAAGGAAAGGAAAGAGATATACGGAAATAGCGCATCAGTTAGATACGATCGCACATCGAACTTTCGCCAAAACAGATCTCACTGACCCACTGCAACCGGTAGTCACGTTACGATCGAAAGAACATCCACTGCGCGTGCAATTTCACAGACTACGACACAGGATCCTCAATTAATAGGTTGGTCGATCGTCGACTTAAATTTATCGTTATTAATATTCCCTACACGTTAGCGTATCCCAAATCTCAACTTTGTCATTTCAACATTTTTTCGATCGTGTCTCACCTCAAAGTCTGAAAAAGATTTTGATGCACCGTCTAGCGTAATAAATCAAGTTTTGAAAAAAGAAATATATATATATAGTATAAATAGGTAATTCGATTAAGACAAAAAGGAATAGTGGAGGTGTTTTTAATTAGACTGATTTGATTGATTTAGTTAATTATGGAAAAATGGGCAATCAGGAGACCGACAACACGTACGAATGTTACGTAAGAAGGAACGCCTGCCAGTATAAAAAGTAATAGTGATTTGTTGGCTATACCGGCGATGAAGATGACGAATACAACATAATTTTTTAATTGCCTCCAAAATATGTATTCGAGATTTTCTCCAAGTAATGCGTACGTTCCACATCGGCAAACTCTGTTATACGCCATTAAAGATCGCGTAAAGAGATTTTTGTCTATAATCTATTTATTTATAATTTTCTGCTTGTTACGAATATCTGATGTAAAAAAGCTATTTTTTCGTTTCAGTTGACGATACCAAAGAGCCAAATCGTAGCATGCCAAATCAAAGATGGATCATCACGAGTATTCTTATTTGCTTTTTCCTCGTTGGAATGTTGAAAAGCGCTGTTGGTATGTGAATTGCATTTTAGATCATTCGATTAATTGAACAAATAGTATACAGTATCGTATATCTATAAGAAAGAAAAAAAAAAAAAGAAAAAACATAGGGCGAGGGAGGGAGAGGTTTAAAGCACGTTACTATTTTTACATAAATTATATGATAGTTTATTACTCACGTCGAAAATGGAGCGAAACGTTTGCAATACCATAACCTCGTTTTATAGAGAAAGTACTTGAAATTTATATGCTGTCTGATGATATCGATTTGATTACGAATTATGGGATTTCCTGAGACACGCTTATTATAGAATGTTTCTAGCGTATCGGAGAAATTATATAATTTAAGCTCATACCCTGCATGAACACGTACTTTTAGATAGCTATACATTTCTGACATTGGCATACTTTGCGAATTTGCTTAAACGAACATCAACAATACCAAAAGATAGAATCCTGAAAATAAACTTCGAACTTTACTAAATAGAAAGAACCTTTGGATGTTGCATCATTTTCAGATTCATAAGTACATATTGACCTTGGTTTCGTCAATAGAGATAAGTATGGTACATAGTTTCGTCTTGATATACAGTTTCATGCAGGTTTCATCTACGGTCGTATCACTCAAACACTTAAATACCACATTTTCCCAAAAAAAAAAAAAAAAAAGAAAAAAAAGAAAAATGTTTATTATTTTGTTCTTGCAGGAAATCCCGTCAGGGACAGGTCAAAGGAGGAAGAGGAAATGCCTATGAGCAACTGGACACAACTTGCAGACGAATGGCTCGCCAAAGCAAGTGCCGCAAGAGGGTTGGACGTTACCGTTTTACCATATACCGAGACGCTCAGAGATTTACCACCGACCGCGGAAACTATCCGCATTAATGGTACTAACCTCGATCAACTTTCACGGGTAAGAAAATTGGTAACGTCTCTGCGCTACGTCTCTAAGTTCGGGGCTTTCCAAACTTTTATAGACCGAGACTCATTTTCGAAAACGTTAACTTACGCGATCTACTTGGAATATCTCGTATCTCTGTGTCATGCGCATATCCCACAGCCAATATTCCATTACTAATACAAAAAAGTTACATATGTGCTGCGAAAGTGCGTTTCTGAGTGAAAAGGTGCATATTAGACCCCGCGATCTCTATCCCACTTTCCATACCATTCACATACTCTATATCCAACGTGCCAATATCCTATATCTGTGCATCCGAAGTCAAGTTCACGGGATGTGGGACACGGGATAACACGTGGTCTATGTAAGGAATAGAGTAATGGTATTGATTAAGAAATACTGGACTTTAAACGTTGGAATGTCGAATTATGCATATTAAATACGAGGTAGAGAATATAAGATCAGAGAACTGAAGTTCGGCGAGCTGTATGTGAAAAAAATGTTAATCTATATTTTCACACGAGGAATCATTTTCTTTGCGATCGTGCTATGGTTTCGGGAACACTGTGTATATCGATTTATTTTCACAAGGTGTTACCTTGTCTTTTGGTTCTTCCGTATTTCCCCGCCTTTTTTCACGTTCCACGATGTCGCCAACTCTCACTTTCAGTGCCAAAATACTTTCACCAACTTGATCAACAAGGATAAGTATATATATACCTGTACTGTATCCTTCCTACTTAGGTTTATACGTAGACTCTAATCCAATGTCAGTGACTTTCCCCGCGAAAGTTTTTGCGATGATACGATTCTTCGTTTCGATAGAAGATTCATTATTCTCCGAATGAAGAAAGAAAAAAAAAGATGCGTTCCCTGCGTTGAGGGATCTACTTGCCTCTCGCAACTTCCTAGGAAATATTTCTAAATTTGTGTAAAAGAGAACTAGTCTTGCGTTATCAATGCTGTTATTTTATCTAAATTTTATATAATTATATTTATCGTTTTAATATTCTATCATTGATCGTGGTAAAAATTCGCGTGTTTCTTTTCAGCACAATTATTCCAGAATGTTGTGGGAGATGGAGAACGCGCAATCAAATGGGCACTTGTCAGGATTTGTGGATAAAGCTTTAAAATTACTGGATCTAAAGCAAGTGATGATGGAGGTAGAGACATCGGTGATGTCGAAAGTGTCTTGTTCGGCGTGCAAAGTTGGGGCAGGTCTTCTTCTACATTACATAAAGGTTGGCAAAAACGACGAAGAAATTATGAACAGCATTTACCAATTTTGTACATCCCTTAATATTCAAAGCCCTCGAGTTTGTCACGGAGTTACATTGCTCTTTGGGGTAAGTTTTACGATATTGATTTCCCTTCTATCAAACCATTCTACAATTTCCTATCACTTCAACTCGTTGCTTTTGAAAAACCGCTCCTCTGAAATGAAACTCTATCTATTTAAAATTATTTCTTATTATTTTTAATTATTCGCGTATGAAAACCACAGGAGAAAACCGTGATAAGTACATTCTTATCGATCTTCTGATTTTAGCGTTACTTTGTCAGCAAAATTTTCAGACCTTTTATGGATGCGTAGATGAATAAGCTTTGCATAAAAATGTTCAGTTTACTTGAAATATTAAATATCGTTATAGACTGTTTTCTATGGAATTAATTGCACGTTGAACGATGGTTTTCTTCAGGGCGAAGTTATTTACGTGTTGAAACAAGTAGATATGGGACCATCGCAAATCTGCAGCTTTGTTATCGGCGACGCATGCGACGACGCGTATAATCCTCTACACGAGTGGGAAGTTGCATTCCCGCCAGTGAATAAGCCACCTGTGAAACCACCCGTGCCGCCTCAAGAAGGTGCGCCTACCTTCAAGGTTCTTCATATCTCTGATACGCACTACGATCCTTACTACCAAGAGGGTGCGAACGCAGATTGTAATGAACCCTTGTGCTGCAGATTAACCAATGGGGCACCCCAGACACCAGCCGCACGTGCTGGACGATGGGGTGACTACCGAAAATGTGACACGCCAAAAAGAACGGTTGAACATATGCTTAAGCACATCGCGGATACACATTCTGTAAGTAACTAGATTTACATTCAGACAAATTTTATTTGAAACAAAGATAAAAAATGACAACTTGAAACAACGAATGTTAACGACTTTTGCTACTAAATTGTATAAAATTTGTAATTATACTTAAAAATTAAGGAACGGTGATTGTCTGTGACATTTAAGTGAACGAGGAATGTGGAAAAGTAGTTGATTTACTTTAATCAGATATGTTTATGAGAAAAGATGTTCTTACAAAAATTCGTACAGTATAATTTGAAGAATTTCTCGTGTTAATCCAGGATATCGACTACATTTTGTGGACAGGAGATTTACCACCTCATGACGTGTGGAATCAAACGCGAGAGGAAAATCTGAAAGTTTTGCATGAAACGGTGACACAGCTCATTGAGATGTTTCCCGGAATACCGATCTTTCCTGCTCTTGGAAATCATGAAAGTGCTCCTGTTAATAGGTAACTAAAATTCTTTTATTTACTTCCTCAACTTTCTTCTTTGTAGACGAAATTTCGATTGTTTCATTGACAAACCTGTTATTAATACTACCTTCCTATTAACAACGTGTAATCCTTGATCTTGTACTCATTTGGCTTAATAGTAAAGTATATAAAAATAGGAAAAAAGAAAGAGATTAATGTAAAAAAATGTTTCAGTTTTCCACCACCATTTGTGCCAAAAGAAAACGACATATCGTGGTTGTACGACTCGCTCGATAAACACTGGAGACACTGGTTACCAGCAGGTGTTTCACACACTGTTCGCCGTGGCGCTTTTTATTCGGTTTTAGTGCGTCCAGGATTCAGAATCCTTTCTGTCAATATGAATTATTGCAATAACAAAAACTGGTGGCTGCTAATAAATAGTACGGATCCAGTGAGCGAACTGCAATGGCTAGTTTATGAGTTGCAAGGAGCTGAAATGAATGGCGAGAAAGTTCACATCATTGGGCATATTCCACCTGGTCATTCGGACTGTTTGAAAGTGTGGTCTAGGAACTATTATCAAATCATTAACAGGCTAGTATAGTAGTAACGAGTTTCCAAATGACTGTGATTCATCTGTTGTAACATTTATGTCCAGATGCATATGCAATAGGTTTATCGAAGGGTTTTATCGGTTTTCATGCTGCCAGTCTTATGTTACGATAATACACGGTGTAACAAAAAAGTAATAAGATACTAAAAAGTGAAAAATATATCGATATTCAATAGCAATGGGGTCGAGCAAATCGCAAATCGATTCGAATATTGACCGACTAGATTCGAATCCTCTATAAGTATTTAAAAAAAAAAAAGAAGAAGTAGATACTTTCAAGTAGACTCGAGCCTAAAGTTTTATCTGTAAATTCAATGTTTACAGATACGAATCTACAATCACGGCACAATTTTTTGGACATACCCACTACGATGAATTCCAATTATTTTACGATATTGCTGATCTTGGAAGAGCTGTTAGCATAGCTTACGTCGGGCCATCGGTTACACCTTATTATGAACTCAATCCAGGATACAGAATATACTACGTCGATGGTGATCATCCAAAAACCACGAGGGTAAGTTATCCTAAACTCCTTTTTATTGTATGATTAGGCGATTAAAATGTATCGTAATTTTGTTACAGATGGTCGTAGATCACGAAAGCTGGGTAATGAATCTAAAAGAAGCGAATCTTTACGATTATCCTATTTGGCACAAAATGTACAGTGCCCGACAAGCGTATCAAATGCCATCGCTTTTACCACGGGACTGGGATACCCTGATAGATAAGATGAGCAATGAACCTTCGCTTTTCGATCTGTATTATAAGTAAGTAAGAGATATAGTGAGGTCATAAAATTGGTCAGGCATTGAAGTTGACATGTGATATCTCTTAAACAACATCAGTTCTTGATACAATTTAATTAAAATACCCGTATATATTGTTACGTTTCAGACATTATTATAAGAATTCTCCCGTAAGACCGCAATGTAATGATGAATGTCGAAAAAGATTACTTTGTGATTTGCGAAGTGGAAGAAGTCACGATCGCAAAGCTCTATGTCAGAGTCTCGAATCTAGAATAGATAACGAAACAAGGACAGGTTGGCGAGCTTGGATTTACAACGGACTCGCTTTCTCGTACGTACCTAATTGGTGGTTCCAATCTTATTCTGGTGATGTTAATACCAACCAAGTTGACGTATAATTCTGCAGATATTTTTGTCATTTAATTGTTATTCGTATATGACTATCACTGATATTTCTTGTATTCTTTAGATAATTTTTCCCTATTTCATTAGTCTAATTTCTAATTATAATAATGCGTTCTTCCTTTGTGAAAGGTAATTGCCAATATTTACAGATTTTTAATGTACAAAATATTCGAACCTTTTTGTTTGTAAGATTTCATTTCTTCCGATATTCATTTCAGATTTCAAATTTTAAAAAATTCGGCTTTTAAAGAATCATTTTTTTAAAAAGAATTTGGAAAATATTCTCATAGGCAATAAAATTAAGAATTTAAAGAATTCAGTGAAAGCAATGAAAGTAATACTATAATTAACTGTGATTATATGATGAATTGTGATTAGTAACATTAATGATATTATATTAATCATATTAATAATATTATTAAGAAATTTTGTAACAAATGTTAACAATTAGCTCTAAGTAATAAATACTACAAATGTATATAGTTATATAAAGATCTGATACGTACAATATATTTTACTAATCTGCATGCTGCAACTGCCTGTATTATCACTTTTTGTTTATATTAAGCAAAATAATACTGATTTTATGAAAGATTATTAGCGAATGTTTATACAAGTTTATATTTTTGTGGATGCAACTGAAGATATAAAATTAAAACAGAGAATTGTTCCATCTACTAAATATTATTAGTTATCGATAACTATTTTTTTAACATTTTGTATATTTTTACATATTACATATTTATATTCTGTATATTTTTTTCTTATCTTTAAATTTTTCATAAATGCATAAACATTCGTAATCTACTAACCATAAAATATTTTTGCAAGAAGTAGTGAACGTATACTAATATTTAAATGCTGCTATTTTCGAAATGTTAATGCATTTTAATTATTTTCAACTTAACTGTCTTCTGTTCCTGATTTTCTTTCATTTAGCTCTTTGAGTGCTTGTTAACATAACATAAATGTGTTAAAAGAGTGTTCACATTTTTATGGCTTAAACTACTTGTACTTGTTGTAAATAATACGGAAAGATACATTTTAATTCTTTTGAATCTAATTTTTAATATACATGCAATGAAAAAAAGCAATAAGAAATAATGTGTTCCTTCCCTGTGTTTCTTTTTGTTTAACACAGTATGTACTAAATTAATATACTTATTTTTTTTGGCATTTAATTTTTTATTCGTTACAGTGTATTATTCCCTCAATTTATCACAAAATAAATTTTTTATTCTAATCATTTTAAATTGTCTATTTAATTTATTGACTAAACACTCAAAGGATTAAATTAATTTTCATTTTAATATTCAATATAGGTTTCTACAAGTCATATTTAGTGCATGTATATGCTGCATAAAGAATTAAATCACTGTATAAGTTGCATACATTGTTCGTATGTTTCAGCATTTTCCTTGCAAGAAACGTAGCAACATAATTTTTCAGAATAAACAGCGCACAGCATTAGTATATTTTATAGTTATTACATATTCTCTAAAGCGATATGAATTACTAAAGAAGTGACATAATTGTTATATCAAATATTATAGAGACGAACAATATTATTAAAAAACTCTGCTACAATATACAAATACTGTATATATGTTATTAAATAAAATATCAGTTTTGGAATATTTAGTAAATCTGTAATGCTTGTATATATATTAATGCTTTTGTGGTTTCAGCAAAAAATTACTATAAAAGATGGTGTTTTGAAGTTTGTAATGTATTCTAACTATTCTTTTTACTATTTTGCAAAAATTTTCTACTGAAATGATATAGAAACAAAAATCGGGTGATCTTTTATTGTTTTTACACTACATAAAAGAAATAAAATTTTTTATTTTCTACTATATATCAATGTTGTATAATAAGTACTCAAATTTACAGTTTATTGGCCATTATTAAGGTCAAAAAGCTATTTCATGTGATATACACATTTATTAGCAAATGGCACCTAGTAATTAAATAACAGACAGTACCTTCTGGTGATGGAACACATATAATGGTGGTTGAAATTTCCAACACTAATCTACATTGCTTATAGTGTAAGTATGTACATAGATTTTACCTATACGCTTAAATTATGCTCAATGCTGCATAAATTAGTATTTAGTAGTTATGAAAGCCTTCACTATATAATACAAATTGCTAATAACTTTGAAACTATATATAATTTCTCTTTTAATATGTTATTGAATATTACTTGCACAAATAATTAATGTTTATTTCATCATAAAAAAGAGGTATTAGTTTTCAAACTAAAACCAATAGATATCTATATGAGTATCACTAGTATGACTCATTAACGTATACAGATTCACAAAAATATTTGTACACCAATGTATTTATAATTGAAATAATTTTGAAATTGCTGTATATATTTTGCATGGGAAACATGCAAGATAATGTTACAAACAAGATGTGTTATTCATTTCTTTTAAAAGTTATACAAAACCACTGTATATTTTTAACGTAATTCTGCAAAACAATTTATAGATATAACTCTGGATAAGTCGTATCTCTGTTTTGGTTATAACAGGAAAAAATGATAGTGGAAAAAGATCAAAAGATTTAACCTCTTAACGAGCGAACTTATCAAAGTCAAGTCATTAAATTATTTAATGTATCCATTGCATTTTCGCATTTACGTATATATAATTCTAGTTATTTCGATCTCATTAGATAGCATTCCAAAGTTTTAATATTTTTTTACTGATTGAAAGTTACAAATAGATTGTTTTAGGTTAAATTACCACTCCTACAATTACTACAATTACTAAATACTACAATTAATAGATTAAAATTTTTTTTTTAAGAGATTGAAACTGCTGAAATGTATATATATATATTCAGTTCTTAAGCTGTTATGAAATTTCCTACCTAAAAAATAATTGTATATTATATTTTCTTTGCAGATTGTCTGTTTTCATGGCAATTCCTCGATTTGCATATAATTTACCTAAATATGTATTAGGCCTGGGATAAATGAAGATAACATTAAACGGAAAACTGATGTGATTCTGTTGTTAAATTATTAAATATTTACAATGGTGACATTGTTATTTTGAAAGCTATAATATGCATTTACATGCATAAGAATATGCACTATTACACGCAAAAGTATGATGGAATTGTCAGATGCAGATACATATATCCGTGAGATCCGTGTTATGTTATAGTTAAAAGAATTTATTTAACTAGCAATAGAGAGATTATATAGCGTAAAGTTTCACTTTCAAACACGAATTATTTTTCCTTTGAATGTGATAAACATACACATCGAATGTGTGTTGCTGTCGTATCAAAAATATTTGATAAACTGTTTCTAAAGAGGAATTACTTTATTTTTTTTTTTTCAGAAATGATGTTCTATCGATAAAAATACTATATAGAATGTATTAAAATGTACTAGACAGAGAAGCATATTATCATATTAAATTCCATGTTTAGTTTATATCAATTCTATACAAGTTGAAATCGTTACTACTCTGTGATCTCAACATAGAGAATACATTTTTGAAAAAAGAAAATGTAGAGTGAACTTACATAAAAGTAATTGCATTTATAAGTTTGTTACATGCAATACAATTAAAAGATCAGGCAAATGCAACTAGTTTGAATAATAAGATATACAATCAATCAGATATAAAATCAAATCTAGGTAAAATCGACAAACACTGTTGATTAGTTTTAGAAATATTTTGTACATAATCGTATTTGTATTGTATAGTTACTCTTGAATTCGTTATCACAAACATAATTATTATAAATGTATTAACATTTTTATGAATAGAAATACAAAAATTGTACTTACAATTAGCGATTATTACACTTAACTTCATTAGCATAATTGACGTTTGACATATAGGATTTAATTGTAAAATTGAATAAAAATTTTTTTACAATTTACATACTTTTGTAAGAAATGGATATTCAACGATGGACGATATAAGTTTTAGCGTCAACGAGAGAGCTGCAAGCAAATTGAGGAAGCTTTTGGAATCTAGGTGAAGAAAGCTGGTTGTGGATTAGCGAATTTAATTTGGAATAAGGGATTATCATCTGAAAAAAATACACCACGGTGATCAAAAAGCAACAAAAGTAACATAAATGCATAAAAATCCGCGGTCTATTCGTTAAAGTTTGTTTGTGCTTTCTTTATCTCATATTTCCTTTACGTTTCTCAATTTGGTTATTTTAAGTGGAATATTTGAGAACAGCGCGTTTAGTTTTAAATGTAATTTTTATTTAGGCTATGTACAACACATACGTACAATACGTGACCCTTGCTTAAAACTATATTACGCTCGCCCGGTATGCATTTCCACTTTTAATCTTTTCTCTTTGACATACTTGTTAGTGTGTGTGAATGTGTGCTCTCATGCATGCGTCGTCGTAATAGACACACATATATGTTGTGTTTCTTTCTGTATGTATGCAAGTGCAAATGTGTTCGTATATTCGTGTGATATGTTACAAATTTTTAGGAACATTTCGCGTGGAACACCGCGAGCGATATTAGTAATAAGGTTGCAGCAAAACTACACGAAAACAATGCAGTCGTCTGCAGCTTCATTCTCGATCAATATATTAATTAGACAATTATCGAAAAATGACACCAATATAGACGATTGTTGATTGGACAGATCCAAATATCACCACTGAAAGACGCCAGGGAGAATAGCAACTATTCGATAACGATCAAATAGAATAAAATTTCGTTTAAATAGATATCTTGCACGCTTTTATGTCGATTATGTCCGATAAGAGAAATACAACATTTTTTAATTGAAAGTAAATCAATGTGATATTTCATTTAATTATTCATTTCAAGCCAGAAAGGCATTAAATATGAAACTGCCAAGAGATATATTTACATTTGCAATAAAATTTTATCTGTAATTTAGCATACAACTTCTACATTATGTGAACAAGATGTAGATGTAGATAGATACATAATTGTGTATTTTCTTTGAAATAAAGTAATTTTATTTTGATACTTTAAGAATTCGATTAAGATTAAAAGCAAATACCGATTTACTTTTGATATTTTGAAACCAATTGTATCTGATAAGTAAAATAATTTTACAACATTGTTAACGAATTAAGTCTTAAAGTATGGCTATATATATATATATAAGATTTGGTGTAAAATTATTTAAGATAAAAAAGGAACTGTGTATAGAACTTCACGTAATTATTTATTTAGACCCCTGGCGTCTCTCAAATTTCAAACGCAAGACATTGTCAGTTATCCTCGTCTCTCATTCTGATTATTTAAAACTCTGGCCAACATAAGCACACAAATCAATACCTAATATTCCACTAAGTTTAGGTATGCTTATATCTTTAAAAGGACATTGAAAAATCGCATATGCTAGAATATCTGTTGATTACACTGTATACGTATCTCTTCCTTATTTACAATCTCCTCTGTTAACGAAACTGTTTTGGATCGTTGTTAAGAAACTAACAAAAAGATTACGTGGATTGTGCGCGTATCGAGTTCCACTCTGCGTGCATATTGATTACTCTAATTGTTAGTTATGCGTAGCGCGTGCTGTGTCAAAAAAGAAAAAAAGGAGAATAAAAAGATAGAGAAGGAAAAAAACATGAAATATAAATTTGTTTCATTTAGTCACTGACTTTGCCTTTATCAGCATTGGAAAGAAACTATATATCATAAAAATAAAACGAACGAACAACAAAAGAACCGGTTTTATCGGCATTTTAGAAATAATCTGGATAAATTCAAATGCAAAACTGCTTTACGCGGCAATATGCATTTCTACTATCGTTACGAAAAACGAAATCCTTCCGATCCTACAGACATGTATCGCTTAATTTAAGAATTGAAAGTTCGATCGAAATATGTATATCACGCTTTGTACAGAATAATAGAAAATTGTGTACATACATAATCATTTTCACTAATAATTATAATGTTATGCGCGAATATGTGTGTTTAATGAAATTATACATATCATCCGTGTGTATGCATAACACCGCACACGAATAATATTTCTTACTTTCTTTTACCAATAATACCAAATGATATTAACAAAGTTACTTTTGTCGAAATATCATTAACGTTACGACGAAATGTTAGAAATCATATCTCGTTAACTGAAACGCAATAGTCAGAGCTGATTTTCTATCATAACATTAATGAACGAATAATCATGGTAAGATGTTTAAACCGTTCAACACGATATTGTTTCGTGTCTATCGTAAATTCGACTTTTCGTCTCTTTTTGTGCAAAATGTCACGAGATTCGCGTTAATTTGATTTCGTTTCACTGTTCTCTTAAATGTACTTCATAGCGTCGAGAAATAATCTCGTCTCCTCTTGACAACACGTTTTAGCGGTGCTAAGTTGCCTGAATGAAGATATGCAGTCAAATATATATATATCGTAACGATTTCGTCTGATCCACTCATATAATGTTTACAATTATGTTTGATATTGCAACATTGGCGCAGCGAGGTTGGGATGATGAGCCGTATTCATTCTTAGAGCGGAAATACTCTTGTTGTACCACTCGTCCTCGGCTGACATGCCTGAAACGAAGTAATAAATCAGTAGATAAATCGATCCATCCCACAGGATTCTTATCTTTAGCCCCGAAACCAAAACAAAAAGGTAATCTTCGTCGAAACACGGAGTTGATCGATAACGAGATTGAACGATAAAATCGTTTGCTTACAAGAAATGGGAAATCGCCTTCTTTTTCTTTTCATAGTTTTTATATGTCACCAATGGCAATAATCGTTGCGATAATAATCGTCGCGAACGTAAGATAACGATATACGCGGAATATTATCTTTTTAATACGAAGAATTTATTGATCAGTTATAATAAGTTAAATACCCATTCGATTTAACGCGAAAAAGGAAGACTGACAATGAGATATCCATCTACCCTTTCCCATCGGAAACAGCTCGACGAACGAAAGTAAATTTCTTTTCTCTTAAGAAAGCAATCCGGTGAATCGATTTAATGACTTTTCCAGGAGGTTCGTCGTAATCGTTAATCGGCCGATTTGTTATCGCATTAAGACGTTAAATCGTTATAAGAGCCAGAGATATTCGTCGAAGACCTACGCTCTATACCGGGCGAAAACTCGAACACGAACACCGGCATAGACAGCCAATTCGCGAATAGTCTTGATTCGATTTTAAAGCGATATTCCATCTTGCGCCGGAAATGATGTAAGACGGCATTCGAGCGGAAATAGAGAGAACGTCTTGGACTGAACGAACGAACGAACGTTTGTACGGATGTCCGATTCCTGTCATTTCCGGTCCAACGTTTTACCAAGTCATTTAATAACTTTAGACCAACGCCTATGATAATTACGAAAAGAAAAAAGGAAAACAAGCAGATCTTTTCGTTTCTATAGAATCGAATCGATTCTAATATCTTTTAGCGTTTCCCTCTTTTATATTTCTGCAAATTCTACGCTTTGTAATTGGACACGTAACAGCGATAAATCTATAGCATCGATGGTAATGTTACGACGGCAAATCAAATTTCGAATTAAACCAAATGCCGACAAATATATTTTCTGATTGTACGAATTAATTCTACAACGATCGTTGTTCGTATTTTGGGTGGAACGTGCAATGTTTGGATATAACGCCGGTTCGCTCAAGCTACGAAGCAAAATATTCCTAATTATAAATTAACTCGCGAGTTAATGAAATCGTAAATCGATTAACAGGCTATTATTCGAATAGTGCATAGTTGAAGATCGCGTGAACTCACCCATCGCATCTTGTCTCATACCAGTAACTGCAGACATATTCGACGCTGAATGTGACATAGAAAACGGTTGTGTCATACTTGGATAGGACGTCGTACTCATCTACATGTAAACATAAATTCATATATAAATTAACTACTCGTTAGACAAGAAAAATACGACAGTATAATCTCGTCGTATCGTTTACAGAGGATTTATCGATTCCTCTTCGAAATAAATAAAATCAGACTTCGTTGTTCAAAAGATCGTAGTTTAAATCAACATACGAGACATGAAATAGTGGAAACTTGTTATTGTGGAATGGTAGTTTGGATTAATATAGAGAAGAGGAATTACAGCTGGAAAGGATAACGGACGAAAAAAGATCGGAGCAAGTATCGGTAAATTTTATAGCGGTACGTCAAACATGACTTCGAAGATCGATTAAGAGGATCTCGAAGCTTTTTTATCGGCAAACCGATACGCTCGACGAATTATTGGCTTAATTAAACCGGTAGGCATTCGGTAATCCGTCCGACCCAACTAATCAGTCGAAATGCAATTTAGCTACATCGACCGATAGCGATGCGCCGGACGCACGCTCAGGTGCACTTCAATTTAATACCTCGGTTAAAATCATTAACGAGAAACGCATCGAATTCATTCGTAGGGATACGATACGTTGCTTGGTAGGCGTGACGCATCCATTGTCAGCGTTAACGATTTTCGTTTTTCCTTTTTTTTTTTTTTTGGTATACGTAAATACGATAAAAATATAATGAATTATACGGCGACTGAAACGCGACAATGGATTTACACGCCTTGAAACGTTACTCATATTTTATCACGTACGTATCGATACCTAGTATCTCGGTTTTCGGCGTACGCGAACCTACGTGAAACTATTTTGAGAAAATTGTCAACGGTAACGAAGGATTTCGATGGATGATCTGTACGAAGGGTGTCTCAAGTTCCTTTTCGCAAACCAATGTCAGCATAATAATTTTGTTCTAATCTTTTAACAGAGCGTCCGTGCTCTGTCGATCTTCGTGATTTCTTGTTTTTAATCGTAGGATATTTTATGGCACTGTTTTGCGGAAAAAAGCCTGCAACACGTTGTACAACATGTAAGAAGACAAAACCATCGATCGTTGCGAGAGATCTGAAAAGAAACTACGGGTAAAAGAATATTTTAGAGACGAATGACTTGCCTGAGGGTAGCGGTTTATTCCATTTATGCTATTGTGAGGATGAGGATACGGTTGATAACCTCTGCTGGCACCTGGATAAATATTCCTCATCATGGCACCTTGGCAAGCAGGAATCGGAGTCAGGGCCTTCTGAAGTTGCTTCTCTTGCTTCCGATACTTCGCTCTTCTATTTTGAAACCAGACCTACCGGTGCGAAGAAAATGCGATAGAATTTAGGAAAATTCTCCGGAGACCTAAGTGAAACGTAAAGTATTGTAACAATAACGCTTTTCTGATATTCGCGAAAAGTGCAACAGCGAGAGGCGAACGAGCTCGTTAGACGAGCCGACTCGAAGTTTCGAAAATATGTACGTTCGAACTCGCGTTCTCGAATCGAATCTACGAGAACGCGTTAATCAGACTGTAAACGAAGGGGCGGCGGGGACGGGGAGCATTTCTCTTCTCCATCGTCGGTCGCTGAGCTATTCCCGCTTTTCTCGGACTCTCCCCGAGGTAGAGTAGTTTATCTATCGCCATTTTGCATCGGGCAATTTCCATTGTTTCGCGGGATTAGTAAACCCATATTGGGGGTTGCCTGAACCGCCACCAGCGACTCCCCGGCATGCACACCGAATCCCCGAACCTCCAACCGCCACCCTCGAACCCTCTATCGCTCTCTCAACCCTCCATCACGCCTACAACCCCCCTACCACCCCCTCCCCCTTCCACCCTATGGTCTCCTTCTTCGTTTCCCCTCTCTTCTCTTCTTCCGGGTTCTCGCGATTCCCTGCCAACCGACCCTTTTCCAAGCAACCCCCAGAAAGAGAAAAGCCTCTCCCCTGGTTGGGGTTGACTTGTTTCCACCCTCGTGGTGATGTTACCAGTGCCTCCTGATTGGCCAATGCCACGACTGTGACGTCACTCCAAGCTTCCTCATTGGCCAACATGTTTTATCGACATTTCTACTGTGCACCGTCTCTCCTCCTCTTCTCACTGTCTCCCTCGTACACACTCGTATACACGCACGTAGACACACACACACACACACGTACACACGTACACACGCACGCATACACACACACAGGCATAGTCTCTCATTCTCGGTTTCTCTCTCGTTCTTGCACGCTATCGCACGGCGAAACGAGTGACACACGAGGGTGGCTCGATCAAGCCTGGTTTTCTCTACTTGTTCCGTATCTTTTTTCTTCCGTTATTTTTCTCTATTTCCTTCTGATTTGCTGCTGCCCGTATCGCGTCTCTTTTTGGTCCGTTTCTCTCTTCGCGTATTTCTTGTCTTTTTCTTTTTTTTCTCTCCCCCTCTCTCTCTTTCTCTTTCTCGATGGAAGTACGATACGTAGTTTTCGAAGCGTAGCTCGCGAAACATCCGCGCCGATGATGTTCCGGTGTCCGTAAGAGGTGGGTCAAAGGGGCTGCGGAAGATACGCGAGAACGTACGACGATAGAATGGAAGGGAAAGAATTGCCCGGTGAAAAACCGTTGGGCAATTTGAATATCGTGGATTTTGTATCGTTGTGGGTGTGAATCGAGAGTACTGTTCGTAGAGATAAGGAAGAAGGAAAATTATAGTTGTCAGAACGAGGGAATTTACGACGAATGGGAGCCGAACGAAAGAAGTCGAATACGATGGTCATTTAGCCGTGCGAGAGTTTACGGAGTCCAATTTTCACTCGAAGTACTTCATCGATCGTTAAACGAAACAAACAGCATCGTACTACGAAAATTACGCTGAAACGCGAGCCTGATATTTTTATATATACTTTTCCATACTGCGTTGATTGCATTTTTACGTGTACAAAATAAGAAATAAAACACGACTGTTCGAAACGAGACGTCGGACGTAGCGATGGAAAAATTAAACCGAGAAACCGTCGCTGCTCCGGTATCGACATCTTTTTCTTTCTCCTCTTATTATTAAAAAGACAGTCGACGAACTATTCGTAAAATGTCATTACCATCGTGCATTGGATCGATATAAATTCTTTTGTGAATTAAATCTGGAACACGATGTATCGGCTGTTAGGCAAAGAGATTGTATCGATAATTTCAAAAAGGGACGCGCGTGTATACGTACGTGTATATCTGGCTATACCTACATCATTTTAAACTGCACATACGGAAATCACGGAACAAGCGAAGCACCACGCATAACCAATTGCGACCCGCATTTGAATTCATGGCACATGAGCCGATTTGCACTTGCACAAAAGATACTTGCATCCCAAATAATTTGAATTTACGTGTCACCCTGAGTCATTAGTTTCGCATCGAAGTTGTCGTAGTTGTCGACGGAAGGAAGAGAAACTTTCGTTAAAAATAATAATGCCGTAACAAGGAATAATTTTACTTTGCGTTCCATCTATAACGATGTACACGATTTTGACCAACTACGATCGTGTACTATTCAAATAATAGTCTGCCGGTCGATGATGTGACTTTATCGATTGCAGAGTTGGTTTATCGTAGTTTTAAATATCTCGTTTCGGCTCATACATTTATACGCACGAAATATATACGAATTTCCAGAATAACAAATTTGACTTTCTTGTTACTGCGAGTCTTCTATCGGTTTCGTGTTCTATCAATCTTTAATAGGACTTTGCGCGATGTACGTTTATACATTCGTAGACGATACGCATATGTATATTTCCAAGCCATAAATGTTATATATCCTACGAGAAGATGAAACAAAGAATAGCATTTTTTTTTTTTGGAAAATGCAGAATTTTACAGAATCCGTGCCGATAGTTTTGTTCGTACTGTATACGTTTCTGATGCGATACCTTCTATCGAAATATTCTATCGAAACGTAGATTTTCGAAGCATTCTGTTCGAGAATACCGCGCGTCAAAAAGTACTGCGATTCGTTTATTCCTTTTTAAGGCCTTTATTTTTGATTATGGCGATGTACTACTCTATGATAGAGCTCTGATCTAAAAGTCAAAGTTCAAAGTATTCGAGTATGCATCGCTGCAAATTATATTACCCGGCAAATATAACGACATTTCACTTTTGCACACACACACACACACACACACACGCACGTTAATACGTGCTTGCGAATAGAACAGGCCTCGAATCCATAAAAATGGTGGCTCTAAACGTTATTAATACTGCAGGATGTATTTATCAAACGTATCGCCGAAAAGCGTTTATGAATATCTTGAAAAAAAAAAAAAAAGAAAACGATCGATAACGAAACCCGGTCGATCGTCCCCGTTGTTATTTCTCGCGTCATATTTGTAAAAATATTGGTTTAATCGAAAGGAAGAGGTAATTCGAAATGCTAAAAGCGCGAAACTGGATTATCTTACTCCTGCTTCTTTAATACCTTCGCAGGTATCTTTTAATCGAGTCTCTTACGTGATAAATTGTATCACGATCAAAATATCTAACGAATCAATCGTTTTCCAACGCGAACAACGCGTTTATACAAGAAACAACGAATTGCATCGATCGATGCGTTCAAAATTATACGAAGTACGAATTATACGATTTAAACAAACGTATCACGAACTTTGTACAATGTCCACGTAAGCATCGACGAAAAATCTAATTACACCGGATTATGTATCCCCTGAAAACCATTCGACTTATCGCCGAAAGCTGGTCCGTGAAATGCATCGAATAAATCGGTTGAAAAAAAGGTAATTCGTGTATGTTTATCCATAGATAAATATAGGGATGCGTTTAAGCGACTAGGTCTCGTAAACGCGGATCGCTCCTTTTATTTACAACTCCTCTGAAAGAGCTTTTTGCGAACATACTTGCGCGCGTCCCTTAAGGCGCGTACCCTACAAGAACTGGAAAGCTAAGAGTTGGTAATTCAATAACCGTGCTCTCCAATCCTCCCTTTCTCCGCCCAGCTATGTTCTGCCGTAGAGAAAGATAGCGCCAGAAGATGGGATAGCGAAAGTGCAGTTCTCTCTCCCTCAAGGGTAGAGAACAGCTCAAAATGTCTGCTACTTTGAGAACCACGACCAAGAAAACTATCCTTCTGTATACCTAAGAGAATACACTCCGTACTCTGATAGCTAACCCACGTATAGAGACAGAAAATGGATCCCGAGATAATGGATTACTCTCTGCAAGAAAATATACCTACTACTACTTTCTTCTTGCCTCATCGCCCACTTTTCTTCCCTCGTACCAGAACACGCGTACACCCTACACTTTGTCGAACGAACGTTCGTCGATCGTAGGCTGCGTGTCTTCCATCTACCGATTTTTACATTTCTTCGTTGGATCGTGTCGAAACTACGACGCGTCTCGATAAGTAGATCGCGGTTGTTTGCGATATACTTTTCTGCACGCTTCTGGACTAAAAAAGCGACGATAGAGATTTGTCTTATTCGTTAGATATTAGAACGAGAAGTTTACTTTGTTCTGTATATTTGTCGAGATTGAGATTTTTTTTCAACAGGAACATTCGAAGCGTTTTTACAAATATAAAAGTATCTTAAAACACGGGAGATGTAGAAATCATTGTTGCAGAGAGAAAGGGAGAATATTTCGCGAGCCGTGAAAAGTTTGACAAGAAACCGTAAAGTAATAAATGTAAACGCGAGTTACATTCGGAGTGCAGCGATCTAAAAAAGTATATTCCGTCCGATGATAAAACGAGGAATGTACGTTGATAATTTTTTATTTCGCTCGTCAGTTTTTCTTATTTCCTCTCAGATAGGAAGTCAATTTTCTCGTAAAACGCCCACTAGGTAGGCTTCGATCGGAAGTCGAATCGAAGTAAAAAGGTCGAATGAAAACTTAGCTAACTTAATATTGGGTCTCGGATTCACCTTTCTTTTTCCTCGAGGTAATGGGATTTCTTGTGCGGTGATTCGAGAATTATTCTCTTACCACGATGCTATCCTTTTTCTTAACCGTTATCATTATACCGTATTACCATTATCAATAAAAAGACAGTTTCTTGGTAACGCGCGATTGGTCGACCAGGTATCGCATCTTAAAATCGCTCTCCTATGAAAAATAAGAGGATTAATCGCGCGAAAGTGCATAAAATGCTCGTAACGCGTGTATAAAATATCTAAAATAAGATGTACTCGTCGTAACGTATAACACGTGACAGAAATCTCGGCGCAGTCCCTAGTCTCTTTTAATTATTTCCACGATAACGCGCATTTCCATAAATATCCCTAGTCTACTTATATAAACATAAATACGCGAATTCATCGTCCAAAGTAGATACCACGTATAAAAGGTCCAGCTGATTTTCTTTCGCCAGTATGAAAATTTCGATTAAATTGCAATCAGCTTTCTACGTTCTCGCGTGTTTCGCCTCGTTCCTCGTTAGGCAAAATTCTGCCGTTAGCATTTGGACAGAATAGCGAAGACGTGGAGAGTATCCATCGCGAAACAGGGGTTGAAAAGACAAGACAAGAGAAGAGAAGAGAAGAGAAGAGCAGAGGAGGGAAGAAAAGAGAAAAGAAGAGAAGAGAAAGATAGGGAGCCGAGCCATAGGGGGTTTGGTACCCTTCGTACGGTTTCCCTCTACTTTTCCTCATCTTCTTACTCCTCGTCTCGCAACGAAGGAAGAACCTCGGCAAGGCCGAGACGTTTCAGATCTATCTAGGGTGGAGAAAATTCAATTTAAAATGGCGGCTCAGATATAATGGCAGCCTCCGGTACAGCGCCACCCAACCACCCTTCCTTCCCAACTCATCTCAACTTTGCCACCGCCGTTCCCTACCTATTTCTCTTTCATCCAAGAGCACCCTGTTCGCGTGTCGCCATCTTCCAAAATACAAAATGCCGTAGCTACCACGGCAGCCTTCAAAGAATTCCGTAGCATCGAATATTTCAATGAAATAGAAACGCGCGTTCCCTGATAATTTTCAACTTCTTTTCCCAATTGTTTAACGAAGCGCGCAACCTTCTCCTTTTTCAATGGTTTAACAGCACGGTAGAACAAAGGCTCGTTCGAATTAATTCGACCAACCTGAAACTCGTTTATTTGTTTCATTGTTATTCGTTTGGCTGGAGATATTCTTCCTACGTTTTTACCGTCCCTTCTCGATCGAGCCACAGGACGACGAGTAATTTCGGACATGTCTTCGGAGTGTTCGAAACCGATGGTCTAGTCGGTTCTAATGTACGCTCGAACGGTATTCGCAGCAATTTAAAATATCGTAGACGCTATAGACGAGAAATTCGTCGCTAGATATACGTACAGAACGTAACGTGTACTTTCATTCGACTGTGAAATTCGATTAGCGAACTTTTAATCCAAGTTGAAACTCCACTGTAAAGTTGTAATTTCTACCATTTAACTTTATGCTCTTATTTTCCTTAATCCCGAAAGAAATAGCGTATAATGGTTTATCGTGTTCTATCTGTTCCTAAAAATACCTACGTATAATATTCGCGAAGGAACGATCGATGAATCGTGAATGTTATCTATAAATTTGCAGTAACGCGTTTAAACGGAAAAGAGGATTAAATTTAGGAGCAACCTTGTCGGTCGTTTTCGCTGAAAATATCAGATAGAAACGATAACGTACAGAGCGCGATAGGTAGACTGTGTGGACGTTTATACTAATTCCTACGTTCACGAACACGAACGCGATTAACAAATCAAACAGAGACTTTAACTTTTCTGTTTTTAACGCCATTCGATATCTGAAGAAGAAAAAAAAAACAAAACAAAAAAGATAAAAAAGATGATACTTGGTATAACGCAGTTAAAAAAACGAGGATAATCCGTCGAATCCGAAAGCATCGACGATTTGCTCATCGTGTTTTTCCATCCGTCGTCCCTATTTACGATCTGTTCGACGTTAACCGTCGCGAAGGGACGCTGGAAAAGCTGCGAGCGATTGAAAAAAACATCGAACGAAGAAATTAGTGGAAACGGTCGGTGCATCGATGTTTCAAAAGTTAATGACTAGAAACGTCGTTTGAAGACCGGCTTGGATACTTTTACATTTGAGGCCGGCAAATGAACGCGTTCGAAAGTCTCCGCCGCATTGGTGAAGCCACTTCCTGCCTGGTGGACACTTTGTGCATGGATTATAACCAACGAGTAAAAGCAAAGCAAACCGCGTTTTACTTGGCATCGCAGTTTAACAGGGTTAAGTCACCGCGGTTCCTGGGCTTTTAACTCAAACAACACCGTCCTGCATTATATATCAAAAGAGCGAAACGCACTGGCGACTGTTTTAATATGTACCGCTGCAGGATTCGGAGGGGCCAGCGGCGGCTCTGCACCAGCTAACGCGAATCCTTTGCCCAGATACAGTCGCCAGAGTCCTCTCCATCCTGTCCATTCTTTAACGTTGTCAAAAACCGCACTACTACCCTCGAATCTGTCGCGTTTCATCTTCCAGCTAACGCATTCGCTCGTATCGAATGTTTATCCTTCCTTCTTTCGCAACTTGTCGATTAAACGTAGATCGTTGGCGTTCCTCGATTAAGCGATTAAATACGTTCGCGTGGATACGTCGGCTGATATTTTATATATCCACTATTTCCATAGTGTCGATATATTTGTTCTTTTTTGGTGAAATCTTATAATAGTTTTGTTCCAGTGAAAAGTTCGTGTACGATGGCATTTCGAGAGAACTAGAAAAAAGAACGTATATGTAGAGAGATGTGGTTTACAGTATCGTTGGCAGAAAGAATCGCAGATAACAGTTTCATTTATCAGCGCGACAATGCTTCGCACGAAACAGTGGGTGAATCAAAAAGATTTTAACATGGCCAGCTTGTTCCCCGGATTTGAATCCCATAGAAAATCTTCGGGGAAAATTTGGGAGAAAAGTTGTTGTATCAATAGCGGGCGATATAATCGCATTAGTGAATTATCAAAGGTGGTAAACGAACCGTAGACGTCTATCGGTAAAGAAACGTTAGAAAATCCGATTTTGTCAACACCGAGTTGCATTTTTGATGTAATTTGAAAAAAATGGCGATTGTACGAACTATTAATATGGATACAGCGAAGAAATTATCGTCGGTTTTTATTTTATTTATCGAAAAAGCGCGTGGCTCTATAGAAATCTCGCATTTTTGTTTTCTGTTCAATTATATTTCTACGTGTTTTTTAAATCAACGTTACTCCTATCGCTACGATCCATGTATATGTACGTTTCTTTCCTGGTTACCCCAAAATGGTTACGAAGCTCGTTAGAACGAAATAATTATACAATTTTACCAAAAAGTGGCTTTATGGAAATTTCGGTCACTGCATTACGAAATACAGTGTCACGCGAAAGCACGGTGCTCCGAATAACTCAACTATAAACTGAAACATATTTTCTGCGTTACTTTCTCGATATTTTCAAAAAATCGTTGATCACACTTGGATATGTTAACTGCGATACGAGAAGCGCAGAGCTGAGGAATAGTCGCGGTACAAACAGTCAATAAATGATTCTAGAACAAAGAGGGCGAAAAAATAAGAAAAGGATTTGGTATAACGTTTTTTCACCCCAGGCTGTGTTTTCGAAAAAATCGACTTTGAAGATTTCACAAAGTATACTTCGATCTGGCTAATTTCGAGCAGTTTGAACTAACTAACGTTTGAAAACAAGTAAAAAATGTATAATACAATTTTTCCATACGATGCTTCGCTTTCGAGAAAAATAAATTTCAAGCTGTATTATGCGCTAAATATTTCGAAATTTCGTTGACATCGCATCAATCTCCGATCCTTTTTTTCTCTATCCATTTAGTATTCGGAATAGAGGTGCTTGCTCCGTGTTATCTCTAAGATAAAAATATCAAAACACTGGAAAAGTTGGTCGTTTCGAGTCGTCTTTTTCTCATCTTCGTTTCAAACAAAATTTACCCTAGTCTGGAATAAGCAACGAACCTAACTTTCGTCGATATCGATAATCCCGTATCTGCTATTTCCCTATTTTACAGTGGATATCAGAAAGTTTGTCCGAAACGCCTCCGTTTCCACTGATTGACTCTGCAACCCCCCGAAAGACTCGAGGGTATCTTGGATCGACATTTGCGCGCGTAATTTCATTTTGCCACCCTACATGCGTCTTTGATTCGATTATTGCGTGACTCATGGCCAAAAAGATGGACGCACAGAAAATATATATACGAATATATGTAACGTTTCGCGAGAAACAGCACGTCGAATTTGTTCGAAGACCATCGGAAGCTAAATGGGGAGAAAATTTCGTGGGATACATCGTCGAATTTTATTATCGAGGAACAAATTTTCGAAAGAAACGTGCGTCGCTAGAAGATGCAATTCGCTTGATTAACCTTCGAGTTTCCATTTTTTTTTTCTTTTTTTCTTTTGTTAATTTCTATCGATAAAATAAATTCTCGAAATGGCAATTGTAGGCGTTCGTGGGAATTAGCTGTGAAAATGATTTTACGCTAGTAGCTCATTGGTTTTTACAAAAACGCTACAAAATATTCGAGTCGATTTCACAAGGCTGATCTTTTTCCAATTTCAGATCAATCGTTCGAAAAATTCGACGCTTAGGAGAAAGTGAATCGAGCAGTTTCTTATGTTTTCTGTTTCTTCTTCGTTACAAAGCTACGATACTCACCTGAATTCTAGCCTCGTTCAATTTCGTGGACCTCGCCAATTCCTCTCTGCAGTATATGTCTGGATAATGAGATTTTGCGAATGCCGATTCCAATTCTGCCAGCTGCTCCTGCGAAACAATTGGAAGGCCGTAGTGAAGCCGATCTGAACTACCGGCAGGAAATTTGAACGCTACACGAAAGATCTCGGGGATCGAGGTAATCGAAATTTCGTTATCGAAATATGTGTAACGAGTTTATCCGTAAATAATCCAGCTACCGAGAATCGTAACAATGGGTGCAGACAGTCGCGAAAAACGATGCAACGAACGAATCGATTCTTTTCAATTAGGGGAAACCTTAAGTAGAAAATCGTATCAGGCCTGGGCATTGTTTCGAGAAAATATTTCGAAAATGATTACGTGTTTAAACGATATGTCATCCGATTTGGCTCGGATCTGAACTAAAATTTTGTCAAATTTATTTTAATATTACTGCTAAATCTATTATCACGATCAAAATCAAATAACAAACAAACATAGTAGTAAATAGGGAATAATTTATTCCGTAATGTGACAAATAAATTATTTAATTTCAAACGAATTAATTAGATTTTCTGTGTGTAAAATATCGCGTGTAATACTAACGCCGCTTTAAAAATTAATTATTTCTCAAACGACTTTAACAAATAATTTTTAAATATTTAATATTATTTGAAAATATCTCCGATTTTATTTTAGACGTTATTTTAAAATAATCATGCGTCTGTCTATTCGGGTATTTGGAACAACCAACTGAACGATCATCGAAATGATACGTGGCATGATACTGGAAATTACTTTGATTAAAAAATATATCGATATGTTGAAGAAAGTGCGCACAGGTAAATATCTTAGTTGAGGAAACGGCGCTTCGTACGCACGCGATAGCAACGGTAATTAATTAAGAACTTTTGTACGTGAGAAAAGATTGGAAGCTTCGAAAATTCATACGTTTTTCTCTTATGCGCGTGAACGTCAAGTTAATGCAAAGTTAAGAGCAAACCTGCGTAAAAGTGGTCCTGTGCCGTCGTCGAGCGGGTGTTGGACAACTGGCGGTGGTAGGTGTATGGCCGATGTGAGGACTCGAAGCACAAGGGTCGGGTTTTAACTTTTTAAAAGCTCCTTCCGCGCCTGAAATTCGAAAAATCAATTAAATTAGTTTTCATTTAGTCGACCTATCGAAATTCATTTCCGGAAATTGAACCGTTCGAAGACAAAGACTTGCTCCAACAACGAAACGATAGTCCCATAAATCCCAGTTAATAAAAATACCAATTTTGTTATTGCATCTTAGCTCTCGTAAAAATCAACTTTATCGTGTCGTAATATTTCTTTGCGTAGCTGTCGCGACCATAGACAACGAAATAAAACCTTTTTATTCCTAACTTTCTGGCAAATTATGTCCCGTGAAAAAGGAGAAAACTATCGGAATATTTTCGATAATGTACGTCGTAACCATCGATGGCTAAGGAACCGGGTGCGAATCGAGAGAACGATTGACACGAGGTTACAGTCTCGATGTAGAAGTCTGCGTTCGTCTTGGTTGTTTCACGGTATCGGCTTTATGAACGAACATACGAACGTACGGTCGGGGTAACGGTGGCGAGCGAAGTCCCTCGCACTATGCTAACTTGGTTAGGGCGTTAATGACCTAATCATGTTACATGCTGATTCAATGTTCAAGGATGAATGCTGTCCACTTTACATACCTTGCCCCGTTACCCGGTGAACAGTGAAACTCGGTCAAGTTCAGCCAGAAGACGAGGCAAATCTGCGCGTTATGATCCGTTTCTTAGCGAAACCACTAACACGACGGCAGCGCCTATTTCATATACTTATTTGTTGTAAATTGACAGAGAATATTTGGTACGGATTTTCGTCGTTGTACGTTTCGCGAAACTTTACGACTGGTACAACGATACTGGTTAGAAAGGCTCGGCGATCGAGGTAAGAAGAAAGAAAATCCGAGAGTTGAAACGACGACCTTTGGCGATTATGGAAGAACGCGTAACGATGACTCGTTTATGGCAACAACAGGTGTCGCGATTACATCAATTTTATTACCATTAACGATGTTAACCGTGGCAACAAATTTTCGATCGAGTTCGACAGAAGCAGTAGACCAAGAAAAGATACTAAAGTTCTCGTATGTGCGAGATGTAAGATGTTACAGCATAAATGTAAAAAATGTATAATATGTCGAAAGAAGTTGTTGAAATAACAACAAATAACGAGACATGCTCGATATCATTCGAAATTCCTTTGGACGTCGCGTCTTGAATATAAAGCGAAAAATATGATCGAAAACCTCACGTTTACGTTCTTATATTCACTTTTTCTTCCAAGAAAATAATTTAATTCGTTTATTGTTGAAAATCAAACTCTCGTTTATTTTCCATTTTCTAAAGTAAATGGCTACATTAATCGCGGATCAAAGTAATTGGAAAAGGAAGAACCATCGTAGTTACAGTAGCTCTACGACTATTATCCGCCCTGAATACTATATTCGAAATAATTACCAGCGATTTTAACAAGGCGAACGAGGTGACAAATGACACGATCTATGGGATTATTAACAAGGCAGATCCCTGCAGCTTTCGCAGCTGTCTTCCATCGGCATCTGCCACCAAATTCCAGTTAACGCGAAAAGCTATGCCGTCGCTGGCAACTTTTTCGATCGATTCTCCCTCCAATTACAAATCTCTGTCCCTCGATGCTACGGAATTTTTACAACTCTCGGATTTCATTTTTACGAACGTATCAACGAATGTGACGAAACGAAATATACCAAACGAATTTCAACGTATCTCAAAAAACGAGAAAAACGTTAGTTACGACGTTTCAACTGAAAGGGAGAATTTACGTGTTTTAACACGTTCCGATACTTATACAACGATCGCGTTAAATGCGTTTGCTATATAAAATGTCTAGTAAATAGCAGAGAAACTCTATCGTCCGTATGGGAAGCTGACTTTCGGTAAGTTCGTTCAGGTAGTAATATTAAATCGTCTTTTTTGAAAACAGAAACGGAAACCGTCGTTTGTAGTAGAGAAATTTCGCGGGTTCGCGTATTAAAAGGGGCTAGGGAATCGCGCGAAAGACCATCGCTTGAGTACTTTTAATGCCGCGGAGGACGCAGAGGGTTAACGACATTAATTTTTCCCTCCCCGTTTCTCTCTCTTTCTCCGCTTCCCTTCTTCCATCTTTCTTTTTCCTCCCTTCTTTCGCTTAGCTGAACGTTGCAGAGTTTTCATTTGCATTAGAATACTACGGCAGTTTCATCTCGTTCCTGAAAAGTCTGACCTTCAAGGGAAAAAACAAAACGCTGGACGTTCTCCACTTAAATTGGACCCATCGCGCGAAAGTCATTACCGAATAATAAGATCCGCAGAAACGTAATAAAATTTTACCGTGCGACCTGTTGAACCTCCTATCTTATTTGTAATATTTACAGACGCATCCGATCGCACGCACGGTTCGTTAGAGAATTCTACGTTCCACGAACATCATCCAAAATGCGATGCCAGTTTCCAAGCAACAACGATGCGAACGCATCTTGAAAAGTTCTCTTTATTTGCGACTTTGGTATATATGCCGTTATTTTTCAATTTTTGTATACCTTCGTCATAGACCTCCGCCGTCACAGTTCACACAACCATCGCCCTGCGCAATCCTCTGAATCGTCGTTTCTTGTGAAGCGTCATAAAGGCAAAAACTTTTCAAGTTTTGCAAGAAAGATGGTAATCTGGCTCGTTGGACGCGTCTATCGTTTGCGATAAAGTCGCAA